TATGCAAAAGCATTCGACTATGTTGTCCATAACAAATTTTGGATAACTTTGAGAAGAATGGGAATTCCAGAACACTTAATTGTGCTCATGAGGAACCTGTATATTGACCAGGAGGCTGTCATTTGAATAGAACAAGGGGATCCTCCATGGTTTAAAATCAGGAAGGCTGTGTGTCAGGGTTGTATCCTTTCACCATACTTAGTCAATCTGTATGCTGAGTAAATAATCCAAGAATCTGGACTGTATGAAGAAGAACATGACATCAAGATTGGAAGAAGAGTCATTAACAGCCTGTAATGTACATATCACACACCCGTGCTTGCTGAAAGTGAAGATAACTTGAAGCACTTACTAATGAAGATCAAAGACTACAGTGTACAGATTAGGTTGCACCTCAACATAAAGAAAACGAAAATCCTCACAACTGGACCAATAAGCAACATCATGATAAATGGAGAAAAGATTGAAGTTGTCAGGTATTTCATTTTACTTGAATGAAAAGACAAATTGATGACTTTAAATTACTGTGTTGGCAAAGAATACTAACTGTACCATTGACTGTCAGAAGAGTGAACAAATCTGTCTTGGAAAAAGTACAACCAGAATGCTCCTTAGAAGCAAAGATGGTGAGTCTTCATCTCACATACTTTGGACATGTTACCAGAAGAAAATAGTCCCTGGAAAAAGACATTATGCTTGGTAAAGTATAGAGAAAAAGAGAAAGACCGTCAATGGGATAGATTGATACATTGGCCACGACAATAGGCTCAAACAGCAACAATTGTCAGGAGGCTGTGGGACGAGGCATGTTCCATTTTGTCATACATAGGGTCTTTATGAGTCAGAACCAAATCAACGACATCTGACAACAACTATATAGATGGATGCTCTTGGTAGGCATTTGTCCTTCCATTAGCCATACAGAGCCCCGTCAGTTCTACAATCTACTTGGCAGCTGTGTAAGCTCAAAATGAAGAAATTGAACTTGACGGTCTCAAAATAATGCTCTCAGCTCTAGGACTGTCTGATTCTGTGAATTCATCTATGAATTACCACAGTCTGGGAAGTTAGCTTGCCAGAGCCTAACACACAAGAAACTGCTGCCTAAGCAGAAGAGTCAGTATATAAACATACAGTGGAAGTCCACAGAGGTAGGACAACCAGTTGTCATGGTCTACTGACAGTCACCTTTCTCTTGGGATTGATAAGTCCATTTCAGAGGCTGTTAGAGGTTTGAAAAGGTAGTTCAGTGGTCTGAAGCATATTTTCCATCATTCCAGGGTGAATTACTCTTATTTAAGCTAGAGACTATTGTCCTATCAATTTTATTTTCTAAATGTCTTGTAAATCTATCCACTTTTCTCTGTCCCCACTGCTTCAATCTAGCCCTCACTCATCGTCTTGGGAGACTTGCACTAATCAGGTACATATTGATAAATTATTTCTTTGATGTGTTATTTCCTGAAAAACTTCCTACACATATTTTATCAATTGGTATTAATTCTTGTTAGTCTTTTTTCATTTTGGGATAGAAAAGAGATAGATCATTTTCTTACCATCTCCTTAAACTGTAGGATTATGCTTTATTTTGGTTCTTCCAGTATTTAATGACAGCAGACACTTTAATAAGGTAGCATATTAAGTAGGATATTCTGAGAAAAAAAAATATATATATATATATATATATGCATGCTACTTTCAGCAATTACCTTGCATAATTTTTCCTCAAATGGTAATCTTTAAATTGTAGTCTACCAAATCTGATTAGCTATTGATTACCATTTAACACCTTAATAAGGTAGCATATTAAGTAGGATATTCTGAGAAAAAAAAAAATATATATATATATATATATGCATGCTACTTTCAGCAATTACCTTGCATAATTTTTCCTCAAATGGTAATCTTTAAATTGTAGTCTACCAAATCTGATTAGCTATTGATTACCATTTAACACCTTCTCATCTTTCCTCCTACCTCTAGAATTTCATTTTGTTCTTCTTCTCTAGCTGAGAAATCATGCTTCCCATTTCACTAAGAAAGTAGAAGTCTCCAAAGATGCTTTCCCTCAGGATCCCACCACTACTCCAACAATTTGCCAATCCCTGTCCTCCTGTGCTCTGCCTTCCTTCCTGGTGTCCTGAATGAACTATTCTTAGTCTCCTGTCCCCCAACCCCTTCACCTGCTGAAAGACGTTATTCTAATTCTGCGCCCCCTTGTTCATCCTCAGATTTTCCCTCACTGCTGGATCATTGTCGTCAGCATAGAAATACGCTGTGATATTTTGTATCACTAAAAATCTCTTCTTTGTCTCCACATTTCCCTCTAACTACTAACCTATTCATCTGTTCTCCTTTACAGCAAAACTCCTTAAAGAGATGTCTCTGTCTCCTTTCCTCCTGATTTCTCTTGCACCCACTCCATTCAATTGTGTGTCCCTAGCAGTGCAATGGATATCCTCTTGTCAGGGCCCTTGGTGCTGATACTCTACCTGATACAGGAGGATCTACTCTCAGTTTTCTCATCCAACCTGACAGTCACCTTTAACATAGCTGATCACTTTCCCTCTTGAAATCTTTTCTTGCTTGGTTTCTAGAGTGCTACTTATGTTGTTGTTGTTGTTAATTTCTTACTTCATTCCTTCTCTCTCCTTTTTCCTGGTTCTCCCTTCTCTTCTGACTTCAGAAGAGAAGGACCTCTTCTTTCCCTTATCTACACTCCCAACTGCATCCAACTTCGTGGCTTTAAATATCATCTACATACTTGATCATTCCCAAATTTATCTCTCTAACTCTGATCTCTGCTCCAGACTCCAGACTCATCATATATGCAATGTCCTTACTTGGATATCCAATAGGCACTTGAGTTTAATATGCCCTAAATGGGACTCCTGATTTTACACCCTCTAAACGTGCCTTAGGAGTTCTGATGGTGTAGTACCTAAGGCATTTGACTACTAACTAGAATGCTGGTGGTTCAAACCCACCAGCCACTCCTCGGAAGAAAGGTTGAGTGATCTACTTCCATAGAAATACTGCCTCGGAAACCCAAGGAGGAGGTGCTGTGAATCAGATCTGACTCAATGGCAGTGAGGAAATGTGCTTCAAGGAGGTCTGGAGGTGTAGTACCTAAAGCATTTGACTGCTAACCAGAAGGCTGGCGGTTCTTCCATAGAGATACTGCCTCAGAATCCCAAGGAGGGGTTGCTATGAGTTGGAATCAACTCGATGGCAGTGAGTTTGGTGTTTTTTAAATGTGCTTCAAGGAGCCCTGGTAGCACCATGGCTAAGCACTCAGTTGCTCACCGAAAGATTGGCAGTCTGAACCCACTTACCAGCTCTGCAGCAGAAAGACCTACCAATCTGCTCCCATAAGGGTTATAGCCTAGAAAATCCTATGGGACAGTTCTACTCTGTCACATGGGTCACTATGAGTCAAAATCGAGTCAATGGGACCTAAAAGCAATAGCAAACCTGCTTCTATTATGTCTTCCCGTTCTCAGTGATTGACAATTCCATCTACTTGTTGCTCAATCCAAAAACCTTGAATTCATCCATTACCTCTCTCCTTTTCTCTCATACCTTATGTTCAGTCTGTACACAAATCTGTTAGTTGTGACCCTCCTAATACATCTATAATCCAATCACTTCTGACCACCTCCACTACTACCATCCTAGTCTAAGTACCATAACATCATGTCTAGATTCTTGCCAGAACATCTTAATTGGGCTCCTTGCTTCCTGCCTTAGCCCTACAGTCTGTTCTCCCTGCCAGTATGATTTATTTGAAACATAAATCAGACTATGTCAAACTCCTTGGTGGCTTTCCATCTCACAGTTACTGCCAAAGAATTGACAGTAATTAGTTGTTGTTAGCTGCTGTCACCTTGTCCCCTACTCATGGTGGCCCCATACACAATGGAACAAAACACTGCCTGTTCCTGTGCCATCGCCATGATTGGTTGCAAATGAGACCATGGGGTCTTCATTGGCTCATTTTCAGCAGTAGATCACCAGGCCAACTTCAGAAGTTCATCAGAAGTTGCTTTCTAGTTCTTCTTAGTCTGGAAGCTTTGCTGAAACCTGTTCAACATCATAGCAACACAAGCCTCCACTGACAGATAAATGCTGGTTGCACATGAGGTATATGAGCTGGGATTCCCACCTGGGTCTACTGCATGGAAGGTGAGAATTCTACCAATGAACCACAAATGTCTCATTACAATAAGCTTACCAGGTCTGAATTAAATAATTCCCTCTACTCTCCCCTTATTCCTTCCACTCCATCGAGTTGAACTTCTCTGTTCTTTACTCCCTCCTCACAGCTTTTCTTCTTGCTCTTCTCTCTGTCAGGAGTGCTCTTCTACCGGATACCCTTATGCCTTGCTGCCTCACTTCTTTCAGGCTCTCCTTGATTATCCTGATTAAGCTAGCAGTGTCTCTACCACACCACCCAGCCTGCCTAAGCCTGCTTTATTTTTATCCACGATACTTGTGGTTGTCGAACACATGATACCTTTATTTGTATATTGTCTTTCCCTTGTTCTAGAATGTAAGCAAAATGAGAACAGGGTTCTCACTGTTTTGTTCAATTTGTCTTCCACATGCCTAGAAAAGTGTCTGTAGTGGGAAAAGCCTCCAGAAAATAGTTATTGAGTAAATAAATGAATGAACAAATGACCTGAGGAAAGAACAGGAGCTGTAGAGTCCTGTTTATACATTGTTAATGTATAATATGGTACAAATATCCAAAAGCCCAAGCATATGTTAGTCTTGCTTATATGATGGTCTTTCTTATCTATACCTTAGTAGCTAACTTTTCTTCATTTTGTTAAAATGTGTATTGTATTGCTTTCTTTTATTCTTTTTATCTCTTAATAAGAGAAAAATTTAGTGTTTGTCTCCAAAATTATGTTCAAAACTTAATTGTTATAAATACTTACCATAATTACAAAAATAGCTGGAGAGGTGATATTTATCTAGTGTGGGATATTCTCTAGTGTGAAGATGATTTAGCCGAGAAGAGGAGAAGCAATGAGGTGCTCCGGGGGGCCATTGAGACTTACCAGGAGGTGGCCAGCCTGCCCGATGTCCCCGCAGACCTGGTGAAGCTAAGTTTGAAACGGCGGTCAGAAAGACAACAATTTCTAGGTAAGGTGGAAGAAGAATTTATTCAAAAGGGAATTTCATGCTTTATCTTAAAGACCCTTAAGTCATGAGTTTTATAATTAATTCATTTGGCAGATTTGACCCGACTGTGTGTTAGATTGATCATCTCTAAACTGAAACAGCATTACTAACCTTAGTCATTACAAAGAGGTAGCTGGCATTGTCACCCCTCATTCTACAGGTGAGGCAGATGAGATACTGAGAGGTGAGATATTCTAAGAAACCATGGCTAACACGTTAATAGGTGTAGAATCAAAAATTTGACAAATTAACTATAGCAAACTGATGAATGGAAGTTGAAACGATCAGTGGAACAATTTTTATAAAGGAATGTCGGGAGTTCGAAGCAGTTGAAAATTTTTGCTTATAAGATTTATTTCTACACCAAGAAAAATGCTAGGGAAAAAAAACTTAATCACAACTAAATTTACTAATGCTTTGAAAAGAGTAGCTTAGAGGATCCTCTCTGACTGACCCACATCCCCAGTGCCAGAGCCAAATATTACCACCTACCTTCATCTGAAGCAGGCTTGTGACTCTCCCCTACCTAACATGTTATCAGTAAACCAAGAGGGAATAGTGTAAGCTACATGTAACTGCTAAGGTGAGTGATCAGCTGGTTGGATGGTTACCTGGATGATTTATCAGTGTCACTAGAGGAAGGTCATTTAAGTATTTTCCAGGATCCAGTTGATAAGAAGTAATGGCAATCACCTGTACAATTGAAGCTGGTTTTCCTGATTCATTTAGTGCTTAGTATCCTGTTGTCCACCAGAGGGCCCCATAATACCGGATGATGTATCCTTTCTTCTGTGATTAAGTCCTTACAGAGAGATGCGTGCGTTCACTCTGGGGTGTCAGCTGTTAAACACTGTCCGGCTTCCGTCAGTGCCCTTTCAAGTTTTACGTAGTGCTCTGGTAGCATAGTGCCTAAGGCACTTGACTGCTAACCAGAAGGCTGACGGTTCAAACCCACCAGCCACTCCTTGGAAGGAAGGTTGGGCATTCCTACTTCCATAGTGATACTGCCTCGGAAACCCAAGGAGGGGTCGCTATGATGGCAAATAACAACAACAACAACAACAGACCCTGTGTTAGATTTTCTACTGGTCTGTACTCTTTTCATATTTTTAACATGATATATCTAAACCATGATATATCATAAACCAGTAGCTCTGGTGGCGTAGTGCCTAAGGCATTTGACTGCTAACCAGAAGGCTGGGGGTTCAAATCCACCAGCCACTCCTGGGAAGGAAGATTGGGCAATCTACTTCCACAGTGATACTGCCTCAGAAACCCAAGGAGGGGTTGCTATGAGTCAGACCTGACTTGAAGGCAGTGAGTTTGTTTTTGTTTTTGTTTTTGTTTTTTATTGTAAAGAAAAAGTTGAAATTTTTATAAAAAGTTTCCAAAGAGGAAATTTAACATAAAATGTAAATGTTGGTGAATGTAGAAAATAAGAATGTCTTTAATTTGTGTATAGTTAATATTACATTCAGTATCTACTTATAGTAAAAATTGATACCGTTGCATCTACATGATTGAATCCTAATATTTAGCCATTGCAATGGAAAATGAGATTAAGCTGGCATTCAGTCCTGTTGAAGTCTCTTGTGATTTGCATTTGCAGTATAAAATTGTATATAATCTGTTGTTATTACTTTTTTTTTTTTTTTGCCAAAAATCAGGTCACATGAGAGGTTCCCTGCTGACCCTACAGAGATTAGTTCAATTATTCCCCAATGATTCTTCCTTAAAGAATGACCTTGGAGTGGGATACCTCTTGATAGGAGATAATGACAATGCCAAGAAGGTTTATGAAGAGGTAAACAGCAATTTCCTATTAAGTGAAATTAATCTGAACACTTAGTTCTAATATTATTTATAGATTATGTTTAAAATGCCCAGTCACTCACTATGTTTATTTTAAATTAAGTGAAACACAAAGTAAGTGTTTTTATAGTTGATGTACTCTAAATTTTGCTTTCACATTGCTTTTTTTTCTCCTTGATCAGAACCAGATTTCAATTGTGGTTGTTGTGTGCCAGGGAGTTGATTCTGCTTTATAGTGACGCTATATGACAGAGTACAACTGCCCCATAGTGTTAGGCTATGATCTTTATGAGAGCAAATCACCAGGTCTTTCTCCCACATCCTTTGTGCCTGTCCCTCTATTGCACTTACCATGTGATGTTATCATTGTCTGCATATGAATTTGCCTCCCTGACATGACTGAGAGCCCCCTAGAAAAGAGAACTTATTCATGTTTATTTGTCCAGGGCCTAGCAGGGTCCTGCATGTTCTAAAATGTCTATTAATGAATAAATTTGTTAATTAATTATGATGATGGTTATATACCTGCAATAGGCAGGGATGTCATTTATGTGACTGTGATCACTGTAACCATTACTTCGTAGTTATGCCGGGAGAAACATGATCAGGCCCAGTTCAGTTTATTTCCGAAGTATTTCTTGAGCTCCTATACAGTCCAGCTTAGTGATAGGTACTGTAGAAGACGTGGAAGAAGCCAAGCCATGATTTCAGATCTCTAGTTCGGGAACAACTACCAGCATGGACACATCCATTCATTCATTATAGATGGATCAAGTACCTGCTATCTGCCAGCCACTGTTCATCAGCTGTAAACAAAGCAGAAAAAATCCCTATAGGGGTCACATTTTAATGGGAAAATAAAATATAATAAGGTCACTTGGCAATTAATGCTATGAGTCAAGATAAAGAAGTTAGAAAATGATAGGTAGTAGAGGTCAGAAGGTCTGTGTTATGTTGGATATTGGAGCAGGCTTCATTGAGATGATAACATTGACCATGAACTACATTGAGACAACCATTTGGATGTCTGAGGAAGAGTGTTTGAGGCAAAGAGATTCCAAGGTGCAAAGGCAGGGGCAACTTGCCAACTTGCTGTGTAGCAGCAAGTAGTCCAGGGAGTACTTGGGGGCAGATGAGGAACCAGAGGGGTGGAGAGGCCCAACTCAATGGAGGCCTTGGAGGTTGTTCCAAAGACTTAACTTTTACTCTGAGTGAAGTGGACTTACAGAGGTTTTGAACAGTACCCCTTGTATTGTTGTTGTTATGTGCTGTCAAGTCGGACCTGACTCTTGGTAAGCCCTCCAGGGTTTCTGAGGCGGTATCACTATGGAAGTAGATTGCCCAACCTTCCTTCTGAGGAGTGGCTGGTGGGTTTGAACCACCAGCCTTCTGGTTAGCAGTCAAGTGCCTTAGGCACGATGCTACCAGAGCTCCTACCCTTTGTAGTAACTCCCAATTTTACTCTTCCTCCTGCCTCTGGTAACTATTAATAAGCTGTCTGTATGCATTTACCTAGATATTTCACATAAGTGGGATCATACAATATTTGTCCTTTTGTGTCTGATTTATTTCACTCAGCCTAAAAGTTTTCAATGTTAATCCATGCCATAGAATGTATAGAACTCTCTTTTTTTTTCTATATATGGCTGAATAATATTTCACTGTGAATATGTACCACATTTGTTTATACGTTCATCTGTTGATGGACACTTGGCTTGTTTCCACCTTTTTTTGACTATTGTGACTAGTACACCAATGAGCATCAGTGTACAAATATCTTTTTGAATCCCTGATTTGAGTTGTTTTGGGTATGTATCATATGGTAACTCTATGTTTACCTTTTGAGAAACTACCAAACTGTTTTCCACAGAGGCTGAACCATTTTAAATTCCCACCAACTATGGACTAGGATTCTAATTTCTCCATATCATAGGCAACACTTGTTATTTTCTAGTGTTTTGTTAACAATAACCATCCTAATGGGCATGAAGTGGTATGTCATGGTGGTTTTAATTTTCATTTCCATAAATAGCTAATGATGTTGACTATCTTTTCATGTGCTTATGGACTATTTGAATATGTTATTTTGAGAAATGTCTCTTCAGTGCTTTGCCCATTTTTAAATTGGGTTGTTGGTCTTTTTATTGTTGGGTTGTAGGATTGCTTTCCATCTGCTGGCTATTACACCCTTATCAGATATATGGTTCCCATATATTTCTCCCATTCTGTAGATTGCCATTCTGAATATATTTTAAAGGTGGTTTTGGCAGGTTTTGCAGATATATGGGGTGCAGGACCAAATAGAAGCTGGGCAAAACTGCTCAACTACAAGGCAATGTGTGCTGTGTGGGCTCCTCAGGGACATAGTGTCCTTTCACTGAGTACATGTCCTCTTTCTGTGTATGGATTCCATGCAAGATGTGACTTTCCTTTCCTACTCAGGTTAAAGGATGAAGAGAAGATACAAGGCATTTATCTTTTCTCTACATGCAGCTACATTGTACCCTATTAATCTTTCTCTTTTGTTCCATACAGTACTTTGTCAAAGGTGCTTCACAGGTTGAATTCTGTTGTTTTGATTACTCACTGTGAATATTTAATTTAGAGGCATAGTGTATGATTTATCTTTAATCATAATAAATGCATGTAATAATAAACAATGATGTGACTTATATTAAATATTTCCCTCAGTTTTATCACAGAATATTAGATTTGCTCACCATTTTATCTTCAGTGCTTAAAGCAATCTGGCCACTTAAGAAATATTTGAAGAATGAATGGTTGGTGATATATTATGAATGCAAATCAAAATTTTCTCTTAATTAAGGAAATATATAAAGCAATTTATAACAATTCAGAACTGTTTCAAATATAGAGAATTTACAAGTTTTTCCTTAACCATTAAAAACAATATTGAAGTTATACTGATTCACAGATGTTTTGCTGGTTTGCATTGTTAAAGTAGCACTTAAAATGTTATTTCCTTTTCATTCATTTCTTCATCCTTTTTTTTTTAA